ACAGGATTTTTATATTAGTGAAATTCATTTCAGAGATGATGAATGGGATGCCAACAAATGGGCATGGGAAGGGATACTGAAAGTTACTAGCAAGGGAGAAGAATTGGTGGGATGTTGTATTGGAGTTTTTAGTTCAATTCAGTTACTCTGAACTAGAAAATAGTTCAGTTCAGGGCAGAACTATTTTTTAGTTTAGGGTAGTTTTTTTAAACTAGTTTATAGTTAACTATAAACTTTTATAGTGGAGTGCACTATAAGGCAGTTTGCCCACCCCTACCACCACCACATGTTGTTCTTCTTTCCATGTCCATGTGGCTTCGTGTTTTCAACCTTGTCTTCAAAACCATTGACAAACCCAACCTAAGACCCTTTTCACAGCCATTTGCATCCACTGCACTCGCTCACTCCACCCCACCCTCTTTCTCCGACACCACCCCTTCCACGCCCCTTTCACACCCAACCACCCTCCAAGTCCTTCAAACCCTCCAATGTCTCCACCACCACCCCTCCCTTGCCCTCTCCTTCCTCAACCACCTCCACCGCACCGGTTTCCTGCACACCCTCTCAACCTATGCTGCCATCACCAAAATGTTCGCTTTTTGGAACCTGCCCAGAAAACTAGACTCCCTCTTTCTCCACCTCATTACCCTCTCGAAACACCACCATCTTTCCTTTCACCTCCTTCAACTCTTTGAAATACTCTTCCAGGACTTCGACCACCATAACCAGTACTTGCTGAGAGCTTTTGGTGGCTTTGTCAAAACCTGTGTCAGCCTCAACATGTTTGATGAGGCCATTGATTTTTTGTTCCAAACTCGGCGTCGCGGAATTGTCCCTGATGTTCTTACTTGCAACTTCCTCTTCAACAGGTTGGTGGAACAGGGCGAGGTCGATAAAGCACTGGCTATTTTTGAGCAACTCAAGAGGTTTGGTTTCAGACCCAATTGTTATTCCTATGCAATTGTCATCAAGGCGTTGTGTAAAAAGGGTGACTTGAGGCAAGCTTTCTGTGTTTTTGAGGAAATGGAGAGAGTCGGGATCACCCCTCATTCGTATTGCTATGCTGCTTACATTGAAGGGTTTTGTAATAAACATAGGTCTGATTTGGGGTATGAGGTGCTGCAAGCATTTAGAAAGAGTAATGCCCCTTTGGAGGTTTATGCATACACTGCGGTTGTTCGCGGGTTTTGTAATGAGATGAAGTTGGATGAGGCTCAGGGTGTGTTTGATGACATGGAGAGGCAAGGGTTGGTTCCTGATGTGTTTGTTTATTCTGCGTTGATTCAAGGGTATTGTAAGGGTCATAATCTGCTCAAGGCTTTGGCTTTGCATGATGAGATGATTTCGAGGGGTGTGAAGACGAATTGTGTTATTGTTAGTTACATTCTGCATTGTTTGGGAAAGATGGGCATGACTTTGGAGGTGGTGGATCAGTTTAAGGAACTAAAGGAGTCCGGGATGTTTCTTGATGGGGTTGCCTACAACATTGTTTTTGATGCTTTGTTTAAGTTAGGGAAGGTGGAGGATGCGATAGAGATGTCGGAAGACATGAAGAGAAGGGGTGTGGCTTTAGATCTTAAGCACTACACAACGTTTATCAAGGGATACTGTCTTCAGGGTGATCTCGTTAGTGGGTATAGGGTGTTTAAGGAAATGAGTGATGAGGGTTTCAAACCTGATATTATAACATATAATGTACTGGCAACTGGGCTGCTTAAAAATGGTCGTGCTTGTGAGGCATTAAAGCTTTTGGATTGTTTGGAGAGTCAAGGCGTGAAGCCAAACTCTACTACACATAAGTTAATCATTGAAATTTTGTGTTCAGTGGGAAAGGTTTTGGAAGCCGAGGTGTATTTTAACAGTCTAGAAGATAAGAGTATTGAAATCTATTCTGCCATGGTTAATGGCTATTGTGAAGCGGACATTGTAAAAAAAGCCTATGAAATTTTCCTTAAGCTGTCAAACCAAGGAGATATGGCTAACAATGCCTCCTGTTCTAAGCTAATTACTAAACTCTGTATGACAGGTGACATTAAGAAAGCTAAGATGTTACTGGAGAGAATGTTGTTGTCAAATGCTGAACCTAGCATGATAATGTATTCAAAAGTTATAGCTTCACTGTGCCAGACCGGGGATATGAAGAATGCCCGCTCTCTTTTTGATTTTTTAGTAAATAGAGGACTCACCCCTGATGTTATAATTTACACAATTATGATAAATAGCTATTGTAGGATGAACTTCTTGCAAGAGGCCCATGACCTCTTGCAGGATATGAAGAGGAGAGGAATCAAACCTGATGTCATTACCTACACAGTTTTACTTGATGGAAACTTTAAAGCAAATTTAAGGTGTGTCTCTCGTCATGGAGAAGGAAATAAGACATCATTGAAAGTTTCTTCCATCTTGAGAGATATGGAGCAAATGGAAATAAATCCGGATGTTGTTTGTTACACTGTGTTGATTGATGGACACATGAAGACGGAGAACTTTCAAGAAGCAGTAAGCCTATTTGATAAAATGATTGACAGTGGACTAAAACCAGATACTGTAACATACACTGCTCTGGTCTCTGGCTTATGTACGAGAGGGCACATGGAAAAGGCCATTATACTGCTTAATGAAATGTATTCCAAGGGAATGACACCAGATGCGTGTGTCATCTCAGCTTTAAAACGTGGTATTGTAAAAGCTAGAAGGGTGCATTTTCATTAGAAGTTTATCAATTAGACGGTTTGCACTTGGATTTATTCTGATTTCTAAAGTTTATCCAGTCAAAACCTAAAGGTAAAGCAAAATCACATATGCTATTGGCTTATTTGCTAAGACGTATGACTGAAACATGGTCTTTTAATTACTGAGCTGAAGGATTGTGTTTCTTTCTACAGGTTGAAAAGAGAAGGACTGTGCTGAAATTGCATATTGGTTACCAGGTCATTGCAGGTAGGTATGGATATGCTTTATACAAAATTAAAATGATACTAATTACGACAATTAAGGAGTGTAGTTAAGCAATGTTTAAGAAAGTTTTCTTGTTTCTAATTGTTTAGCTTAATATAAGATGCATATTGTGTTTTAACTGGATTAAATTTGAGTTTGTTTCAATTTATATTTGAATTGAGGTATTTCTTCTATATCTAATGAGGTATTTGTTCTGCATTGTATAGAAACAGAAAAGTATATTTCCTTACCTACCAGTGGCATCTTCCTGGCTTTTCTTGTCTTGGGGTGACCCAGTCTTTACCATGTGATCTAAACATTGATTTACCTTCTCTCAGAGTATGTCAAAGGTTTGTAACCAAACCCATATCAACCATCCTGTGAATATCAAATAACTGTGCTCTGTTATGAAAACCATCCCTACACTTGATGAAATAAAGATTTGTTGAATATGATTTTCTTGCTCATGATCACAGTTTGTTTTCCATTAAAAGTAACACATTGCAGTTTAGTGAATATGCTGATGAAAATAAACCTTGACAAACCAACAATCCAATGATGGTCCACACATCTTAAATCTCCCACTACATCTCTTGCATTAATTAAAGCATTGCAATTGGCGTTTAGTTTAATAAAGACAAGATATGCAGGAGTAATCTCCCATTGTATCTACACACTTGGTTGGTTCCAGTGAATTAGGACACAATTTTTGTTATTTTTCAATAAAATGAAATGATTTGTCTTTGGATGCCTTGTTATTTTGTAACTAAAAGAAGACAGTTAAAGAAGAAAATTGGAATATAAAAGAAGAGTGATGAAACCCTTCTACAAAATTCAATAAATAAGCCTTCCACCAAACAGACAAAAGGTAACCACCGACGAAATTTAATTATAAATCTACAATGAGGACTATCTGTTCTATAAAAAAAATGTCAGAATGCATAGTATATAAGCTGAATAGAAGATCTTATTTTCAGGAATCTGTTAGGGTCCTGAAGAACCTCTGGCCTTTGGGAGAACAGTCCTGGAGACTCAACCATGTGACAGTTCTAGCAAGTGGAGAGCTCAACATAAAAAGTATTTTTTTCCCATCTATGATTTTCACTCTTCCAGTTATTAATTGTCATGGTCGATTATTTTATTTATCTAAAACAATATGCAATAAATTAATCCCTCAATCCAGGTTTGGTAAAATAGTCAGTGTGACAAGATTACTTTTGGGTGATCTTTAAGACTTTTCAAAATTGGATCCTGGTGGTAACGTATTTTCTGGTTCTGTGATTTATGAAATATGCGGATGATATCATAAACGTAGCTATCCCTTTTAGTCCTCTTGTATATCCTTTTTCTCTTTCATTAGTCTAGACACTTCACTTAATCTTTTTGGAAATGTTTCTGTTAGGTTCTTTTTTCTGAAGAAAGTTAAGAATCACCCTAGAACCAAGGTTTACGTGTATGCCCCCAAAGGAGCTTTCTCCTTTTCAAACTGGAATAAGACCAGTACACTGAAAATTAAAAAAAAGAGATCCCCCTTTACACATAAGAGAACCTATTTAGAGGAATTATGGTAAACCGGATAATAGTTAGGTCATGCTTTATAGAATATGGAAAGATGCTTTGCTGTTTTTACTAGTTAAGTTTATTGGCCTTAAATGTTGGGGAATGCTTAGTTTAATTATTCTCATGAGAAGTTATTCTGATTTCAAGTGATTTTCAAGTACCTTTTACTGGACACATGGTATGTGGCCATACCTTGTAAGTAAATACTAAATTGCCTCTTTATATACTTCTTTCCCGATCAATGTTCTAGTTGAGTATTGATATGAAAACATATAATCCTTCTCGTCTTTTTGTTAGGTTGCGATTCAATATTGATCTTCAGTTTCATTCTCTCTGCAGCTTCTTTTCGGCATTATTATTTTTGCAATGCCTCTATCCATGTATTTTCCCTCAACAAATATGCTTGAAGATCTTCTGTTAACAGTGAAATCAGATAAAGAATAACTCTGTACAGTATCCGTTGATGGAAGAACACAATCATGATGTTATACTGCTATCGGAATACAATTATTTGGTAAGTCGGCTTGTCACATCTAACTAACTGCATGAAGATGATCTTGTGTCCTGTGATTGAATTTTCTAATAAAAATACGTGCAGGTTCATATGGATTTTTCAGTGTTCCATGTCTAGCTAAATCCCGTGACTACAATTTTGGCTGTGATGAAAGAGGGAAGTGGAGATGAAACGAAACAACACGCTCAAATATTAACTTGGTCGTAGTTTTCCCTTGTTTTATTGACGCACTATAAACCTATCCTGTTTGCCTAGCTTTGGCTGTGACATGGAAGTGGAATTTAATAATGTCATAATGATTGCTTGCCAAGTACTAGGTTAGGATATGGTTTACCAAATCATTGTTTCTATTGGCCTGATTATACCTCACTTCTACAACAATAGTTGTATTGGAAACTAGTACCTGGTGTACTTATAAGTTGCACCTACTTCTGTATCTAGGTTTCTACTTTAGACATTTTATCTTTTCTCTTCTCATTGTGTAAAAAATTTATCATTATAAATGAGATCATAAGAGAGGTGTATCCAAGTCATCTGGAATATATTTTCTCTATTATTAATCTTAAGTATTTCATGAGTGAATAAAAAGAATTATTTGTTGATTATATTTGGTAATCGCTCTGTATTTCTTGCACTTGTAGTATTAACTTGCACTTACAAAGAAAACTATCTATATTTCTTATGTTGACAAGGTTTGGTATGTATGGTACAACTTATCCTGTAGTTTTATAAGATTTGACTGATGCTGGTTTTTATAGATGTTTTCCATTCATTAATTAGTCCTTTTGTTAGTCACTTTATGACAACTAGAGTTAAAATTACTTAGGAACGACGTATCTATGCATGCACCTTCTCACGGCATTCCTATATTCTCAGCAACGATTATTTAAAATAGTGTTTTACTACCATTTTTCTGGCTGTTTCTTTTGTAGGTGCTCAATATTTTTTCATTCCTTATCATTTAATAATAGGTCAGTGATGAGAAGCTTGGAATGAATGCACCTTTTATCGTTTTCATGCACGATGACCTATATTCGACCAATCGAAATGGAATGCTAAAAGACACCAGTTCGGAAAAGAAGCTTAAATAGAAATACAAAGTTGAAACGAAATTTTTATTTATTTATTAAGGAATCCAACTATACAGAACTTTAAAATTCATAAATAGAACTAGACAAAAACTATAATACAGAACCATTAAAAATATTCATAACAAGGGCTTCACCACAAGAAGTTGTGAGAGCTAAATATAAGGTAAAAAATTATTTAGTATTTACCGCAATCAAACGGGACAAACGAACTACCACTCCCGCTGGTTTCAATTGGAGCCTTGGGCCTCAACTTCTCTTCTGCTAATATAGGTTTGTAATAAATGTAGTTAGAAAGTAATGTATATTAAATAAGTGTTACTACAGTGTTTCATCTGGTGAGCATAGGATCGTAATTGCCTCGGTAAATCTTCAAGCTAAAGAACAAATCTGATCAATCATATACATGCCCGTATGCCATATGATTGAATACTTTATTGATAGCACTAGGGTTTATAATCCTTCAACAATCAGCAGCACGATACTGTCATCTGATCATTATTTCAACTAGTTATGGTATCTATGGTTAGACCTGGTTCCACGAAAGAAAAAATATCCACACTGTAATGACCCAAACTTTGAAGCAAACACCGAGTAACTGTAGATGGGCATTATTTTAGAGTCAGATCCAGCTCCTGCTTGTTTAATCCATCATAGAACAAAATCATCAACTTTTATTTTCAAGAATAACTTCAAACTTGCTGCTTCATGACATATATACAGAAACAGTAGTTTCCTAAAAATCTTCATCAGTACCAATGGCTCAACAGAAAATTGAAGAGCGAGACTTCAAGAAATCATGGGCTGATTCAAATTTGAAGTACAACAATGAATGGAAACCGTTATCTGGTCATCTAACAAAACTTTCAACCATTCTACTTGCCGATTTGCTGCCTTGAATCAATAACATACTGGCTTATGGAGATTCCGTGCAAACAAATCTACATCCTGCACTGCACAGAGGCTATTACCTTTGCCTTGCATGAAGCTTTGGATGCACACCTAAACTTCATCCTTCCACCCAACTACAACCAGGATTTTTCCTTGCTCCACTAGCTAACATGGCTTGCCTCATCTCATTGGCTTCAACAGTCCGGCCTGCAGCAACATAGATATCACGCAGGAGAATATAGTATCCACCTTCATCTGGTTTCAACTCCAACAACTTCTTTATAATCTTTTCCCCCATGTCAACATCACCATGAATCCTGCAAGCTCCAAGCAGAGCTCCCCAAACAACATCATTGCATGGAATAGAAATATTTGCAAGCAGATCATAAGCCTCCTGTATTCGCCCTGCACGCCCCAACATATCTACCACTGCTCCATAATGCTCAATCCTAGGTTCAACTCCGTAGTCCCTTTCCATTCTCTCAAACAATCTAATTCCATCATCCACCAACCCCTTATGAGCAAACGCAACCAGAAGCGCCAGAAGTGTCACTGAATCAGGCACAACCTCCGAACGAACCATCCATTCAAACAACCTGAAAGCATCATCAGCATTCCCATGGTTCGCACATACGGTCATCATTGAGTTCCATGTGATCAAGCTCCTTCTCGTCATCCCATGAAACACGTACCATGCCTCCTCCAAGCATCCACACTTCCCATACATATCAATGAGCGCATTGCAAAGAGCAACCATCCACCCAAACCCATTCTCTTCCACGAAATGGTGAACCATCCTCCCTGTCTCTACATCTCCCAAAGTTGCACAAGCTGAGATCACACTCACCATGGTAACCTCGTCTGGCCACACCCCTGCATGCCTCATCTCCCTGAACAACTCCAGAGCATCTCCAGGTCGCCTAGCCCGGGAATACCCCGATAACATGGCAGTCCACGCAACCACATCCCTCTGGGGCATTTCATCAAACACCCTCCTCGCAACGTCCAATTCACCAGCCTTTACGTGCGCCACAAGCAACCCAGACCAGGACACAACATCAACCTCCAAACCCAGGTACAAAACATCCTCAAATGCCCTTCTTGCCAAAAGGGTCATCCCCCTATGGGCATACAAGTGTATCAGCCCGTTCTGAACGTGCAAGTGGCTGCAAAACCCGAACTTCAAAACAGCGCCATGTATGTCGTTGTGGTGGGTCAAAGGGATGGTTCTTGAGCGGGACTTGAGCAAGAAGGTGAAGGAAAACTGATCTGGGGCGACGTCGTTTTGCATCATGAGGTTGAAGAAGAGGGAAGAGAGAGAAGGGGAGGTGGAATGGGAGTGGGCGCGTATGAGGGTGTTGTAGAAGAAGGTGGTTCGGTGGGGCATTATATCGAACATGCGGTGAGCGTACCTCAAGTCTCCCAACGGCGACACCGCAGCGAACCGGAAGAGCTTGCCGAGGACCACCACGTGGTCGTCGAGGTGGGTACGGAAGGCGTGCGCGTGGAGGAGCTTGAGGTCGCGCATGCACGTGCACCTCTGGGCCATTTGGACGAGGGTTGACGCAACAGTGGCGCTTCCCATTGTTGTTGCAATGCAAGACGAACACTGTTCCTCAGATACCAAACGTTGGGAACGAATGAGACGAGGGTATTATAGTAACCTTTGTTTTCTGTTCCCTTAGAAGGAAGAAGGAAGAGTCTAACTGTAACAGCACAATGTCAAATGTGACGAAGCATGTATGTGATGTCATGATGATACAATTTAAAAATAAAGTAAAAAAAAAAACTATTTGTTCAATACTTTTTTTCCCAATCCAATTATAAGAGAGGATAAAGCAATCTGAAATCATACATATGCAACCATTTTACTTGTGTTTTTTTTTCTGTATACAGCAACACGGGATTAACTATCATATCTTTCATAAAAAAGATATATTAAAATTTTAAATTAGAAGATAAATATAATAAAAAAAATATGTAATAGTTAATTTTTTTATAGATGGGTGTTAAATATCGAAATTCTAACTCCTCGTCACTTTTTTTTTATAAATGTTCCGTCACTGGTACCATTGTCTTGGTGACATGCTTACCTTGTATCAACAGGATAGTGGGAAAAAAAATCAGGAATAGGGAAGATTTTACACAAATTTTTAAATTTGAAAAGATAATACAATATACAAAATCATTGTTTTAAGGCTTTGTGATTAAATTATGGTTAAATTTCTATTGGTAAAATAATTAAATAATATTAAAAACATAATGTAATGACTATGTAAAACAAATTTTAAAAAAAATATGCATATATTCCCAATTCAGATACACGTAACAATCTAAATTATATATATTAACACGTCTCAATTTCAATAATAAATAATAATTTCTATTAACAATAACAAGTTTATTATGTAAAATTAATTTTTTTTTCTATTTTTTAAAGAAAACTATCAAAATAACATCGATTAAACATTTTATTGACAGATATAAATTGGTTTTCGGTCATTATTTTCAGTTTTTTATTATTATTTTTTTCTATTTACTTTTTTCTAATTTTAGTCTATATAGTTTGTTTGAACTGAACATCAAAATCTTAATAGGCCTTCGTATCTGACCAACTGTTCAGTCAGTTTTTCAAAGAAATGAATTAAAACAACTGTATACATTTTATAAACCTTAAAAAGATCTGAAATTTACTAATCCAGTGTTACATTCCATCAGTATAATAAACAATTGGAAGTAACAAGTTGTAGTCATTATAAACGAAACACAATCTAAATACGTATATATTCAATAACCTGTCAAGTGCCAAAATGAACAAATCCAAATGAGTAAAACCCATCTTAGAGGAGCTTCTTCCTCTCAAAGAATGTCTTCAAATGCCATAGTTGCAAACCAGCCACAGACAAGCAAACTAAAATTGAAAGAAAACTGTAGTTGAACATCTTGCTGTTAGTCTCGTCCGTAAGAAATTGCCTCTCTGTCTCCCTGTATCAGCCATGAAATAAATGCCATCAAAATTGAGCAAAACCTCTGTCCTTGTAATGAATAAAAAGATCAATCTCCAATAGAGAGTGTGTGATCATACTAAGTCAAACCTTACAAAGTTTAAACATAAAATAGGAATCTCATTCGTCAGTTTCATCACACCTTTCTCTCCTTGGTTTGTTGTCATATTTATGAGGCTCAAACAATATGTAATCAAAGAATTTGATCACAAAAGGTGGAAAACAGGAGAGAAGGATATTGGTAGCATTAAAAGGGCAAATTTTCTGATGAGCACCAACCCATTGAATGACCAGGGTTATGTCAGATTTAGTTTTAAACCTTCTTTATTTCTGTTTTGGTGGTGTGAGAAGGTTAATCGTCTAGTGATTTCATCCATATCGCTCTTTTGGGTGTAATAAGACAAATTAATAGAATTTAATTCTGCATGACAACATGGACCAAATCACTCTTGAATAGTACAAACACTTGGTAGTATGTAGTTAACACTAGGCATACAGAGAGAGATCCATCTCTGAAACATATTCAAATTTTCTTAGCCAACAACAATACGTT